GAGAGAGAGAGAGAGACTCTTCTAAAAGATAAAAGACCTGAAATTCTGATTCAAAACCTGCGCAGTAAGAACTCAAAAAGTGTGAGACAGGGACACGAGACCCACAGCGTGGCAAAAAGGTCCATTGAAAAGAAAATGACAAGAGGATTTCTTCAAAAATGTGCACACTCATGCTGAGTGATGGGATTCCCAACATGAAGGGAAAGACAGAAGGGACCGTAGAGGGATCACATTGCCATGCTGCCGAACTGCATGTGCAGTTGCAGCCACAGCAACCACAGATCTTTGTGGCATGCAATCCGGCCCCTGCCCATCTACACAATGTCTTCTACAGCCTGATGATCGAAGAGATGACCGCCCAACCCGACTGTGTGGTCCAGGACCAGCACATACCCCTCTAGTTGTAGGAATGGATCCGCCAGATCCGCCAGCAGATGCAAACTCCAAGGCTGGTCTTCCCGATTGCCGTCCCCCAACACCGGCCCCTTTGCTGCCACTTGCAGCATTTACGACCCTCCCGCCGACTTGGTGGGCTTCTAACAAAGGCTGATGCCCCACAAGACCAGATTTACCATTCCCCACCGGAACTGATGGTGGTAGCGAAAGCAAAACTGCATTTGTGCTTGAGGTGGGGTTGATCTCAGCAGCTTGATGCTCATTAAAGTACCGAGGATTTGGTTTCCTTTGTCGCTTGTTAGGATTACCTCCAGACATGCCGCTACCACCGCCCTGGTTGCCCGGCTCTGCGGCTAAGGTACCCTCATTGCAGACGAGGGACTCAACTGCTGCTCCACCACTCTGCCCATATCTAACAATGCCCTGCTCAGGCACTTCCGAACGAGCCGGAGAGCTTGAATCGGTCTCCTTGATTCCTCCAACACCAAGGTGTCCAGCACCTGGTTCACATGCCTCCAAACAGCCGACGGGAACTGCAATCCCGCCCCGTCTGTGAGCGTCATTGCTCCCAGTGCAGGCTGCAATGCCTACAATAAGTGGCTGCGAACTACTTATGCCAGAAAAGTAAGTTGCACCACCACCTCCTTTAGCTGCCAGAGGCATTGCCGACCTTGGAGACACAGGTAGTTTGTTTCCTTGGCTCCAAGGGGCTGTGTCAAAGTCCTGCCCACTGGGTTTCACATCTACTGCTGCTGGAGGAATCCTAGCACTCTGGCAATCAACAGGAGCACTGGGTAGAATGACAGTCAGTTTCTTTTTCCTTGAGGGGACGGTGGACGTCGCATTCTTTGGACAGTTCTGGTTGCCACTTGAAGATATCGGCAGCGTGCAGAGGGTGGTGACAGGAGTAGCCAGTCCCTCTTTCCTCCCGTGGACATCCTCTGCAGCGTCCATGGAACCACTGCCTGTGAAAATAGGCTGTCCAGTTATTCCAGACAAGCAAAGGGGAGACAATGCATTCTGGCTGTTGCATGATGTTTCGATATTCCGTCCCTCCATATATATGCTGTTGCGCATGCTAGCATGCTCTATGTCTTCATCGCACTGAACGCCTCGCTCCACACAATTGCGCTGCGCAACAGTCATAAGCCCAGCTACAACCCGGCCCTGGTCAGCCACCACGCGAACAAAATTTGAAGTCCACTCGCCTTGCAACCGTGGCTCAGCAGCAGGCTGAGTCCTCACCCTTTCCCTCAGCACAACTGTTGGATCCTCGTCAACCACTGGAGCATATCCTCCAATACTAGGAGACAAGTCGCCTTGGCGAACAGTCGACTGATAGCCTTTCTGTGTAGACGAGGACGGAGATGAGCAGTTGCGCTTTGTAGCCTTGCCGCACCCTTGGTCTTTATCCGTCACCGATAGTGCAAGCCCTCTGGACAACGCGGACGCATCTGAGGCAGCATACATGAGCATACTTTTCGCAGCGGGGACACACGTGACGGAAGTAATGCTAGAGGCCACAGGGGCTGAAGAGAAAAGGCCTTCAGCTGGCTGCTCCTCCAGCTTGACATGTGCTTGCATGAGCTGGGTCCTTGCATCCACTGGCTGTGTGTTTTTCGGTGCCTCATCTTTGCGAAGGAACCTCCCGAGAGGATCCCTATTTGCCAACATGACAGAAGTCTTGCGCTTCTTTCCTGGCAAACGTTTGTGAGAGGCAGACCGCCTCTTACTGCGACCACGTGCAGCAGGATGAAATGATGCATGCTCACGCTGCGATGCCCGATGATGGTTATTCAGAGCAGGGGACTGGATTGCAACAAAATCCCCTTTGTCACCACAGCTAAAGTACTTGGGATTGGGCCGGCGCCGCCGTTTGCTCTCGCTGACCGCGTCACCTGAGCCTTGCAGGCCAACCGTCATGCATCGAACATCTGCCGGAGGTGCTGATCCCTGCACCCTCCCTTGTTCCTCCACTTTCAATAAGTAACTATTCAGAACCTGCAGAGCACATACATATCAAAAGCGTACAAACAACCGCAATGAGCTTTATGTCCATTCGGAAAGCCGAGTGACCATCCTCAACAGGTACTGCACTTAATACCAGATAAAATGAAACAGCTAAACAGGCACAATAGGCTAGCCTACAACAGTTCATCAACAAGACCTTTCATGCAGAATGTGCTGCAAATCTGCAGACGAGGATAACCAACAGAATGAGTCAAGTCCATTCGGAAGTGAAGATGAAGTAAATCAAAATCACCTTGCCACAGTGCTGTGCAAAAGCTGAAAATGGGGACCTGCAGTCCCATTCGCAACTGAACACTGCCAATCGCAAGGACTGCATACCATTTCTCCGCCCACAGAGGATAAAACACACTAGATGCCCAGTGATCTTCGCTTCAAGAAACTATTAAGCGGAGAAGTGGGATCATGGGGAAGTTAAGTAGACAGCGCAGCCCTGGCTCAAAAACTTGAAATTACACTGATTGGGAAGGGATAAAGAGGCGCACAAAGAGTGGTCGAGTCAACTTGTGGTTTCCGTCAGGAGGTGTGAGTAGTATTACCCAAGTCTGCTGGGTTTTCTTCTGTAATAGGGGGAGGGGGAGAGAGAGGGAGAAAGAGCGAGAGAGCGAGAGAGAGAGAGAGAGAGAGAGAGGGGGGGGGGGGGGGGGGAGAGAGAGAGAGAGAGAGAGAGAGAGAGAGAGAGAGAGAGTAGAGAAAGAGAGAGGGGGGGGGGGGGGGGGGGGGAGGGCGTGAGAGGGGGGGGGAGGGGGGGGGGGGGGGGGGGGGGGGGGGGGGGGGGGGGGGAAGAGAGAGGGAGGGTGAAAGGGTGAGGAAGAGTGTTTACAACTTGTGATCAGTTCATTGTTATGAGATCAACTCCTACTAAGTGAACTCTGGCAGGGCGCAGCCACATGAGCATGCACTTGCCTGATGCAGACAGAGAAGGGAGAGGGAGAGAGAGAGAGAGGGAGAAGGGGGGGAGAGAGACAGAGAGGGTGAAAGGGGGGGAGCGAGAGAGAGAG